TCGGGACGGCGCGCGCAAGCGCGCGTCTCTCTACCAGCGCCGCGCTACGGTGCCCTGGGCAGCGCCGCCAAGGCGCTGGGTGCCGCGGTGGCAGCCAGCACCACCACCCCCTCCTCCTCCACCCGGGGCCTGGCCAGCAGCAGCTTCATCCTGGGGAGGACAGTGCGGTTCTGTCACCAGGAAAGAGGAAACCGCTGCCACCACGCTCTGGTGACGCGGCCCACATGAGCACATTTATCTTCGTGTGCTTGGAGAAAAAGGAAGGGGAGGGGGGTGGGCCAAAACTGCCAGACGCCAAAACAGAGACTCGAGGGTAGTAAGCGCAGACTTGAAATTCCACTCATGTTGGCTTTATAGAGCTTAAGAAAAAAATTGTTTCTTTGGTCAGGACACACACTGACAGATGCTAAATACTTTGTTTTGAGCTTATTTTCCTTGCAAAGGGATTAAGTTCTGCTACGGAGAAAGAAAAGAGAGGTCTGTATTAAAGAAAATTGGTTTTATTGTAAACAAAGTATAAAGTACAACATAGGAAATGTGCAAATCTTTAAAGTAGTCACAAAAAGCGTATCTAATACACTATTTTCAAACTGTTCACTTTCTGATATGTGTCCTCAACATAATATGATAAAATAGAAATAGTGAAAGTTGATGCATTATTTGTTACAAAAGCTACAGTTTAAATTCTAGGCCGGTGTCTTTACTGCCTCGTTTTGCTTTTTGAATCACAACTTTCTAATTTAATACAATACATAATATATCCATTTTTAGTATAAACCGTCTTTCAAAGAATAACATGATTGAGAAGCCTAAGATTCTTGGTTTTCTTCCTTAACCAACCCGAGCAGTTATGACGTTTCTCTTAAAAGTGCACGGTGTCTGTTTATGAAACACACAGCGGTACAGGGTTGTGAGAAGGTACAAAGGAAACCGTGAGCAACACAAAGGCAGAAGCATTGTACGATGCTCAGGTACCACCAATCGAAACATTCACGAAGCTGGCCAAGGAAGCTGGGACAATATTACAAAGCCAACAAGGATTCAGAAACATTTCTACCCTCCACCTGCCCACGCGGTGCCCCTTAACAGCCCTTCCAAGCCCCCCTGGAGGGCAGCATCAGGGTGTTGACAACACCTCAGGGTGTTGAGCAGGAGGACCTGGAGCTCTGAAACCTCCAGGAGTTTGGCACCAAACCATCACTTATGACTAGGCCAGAGAAGGGCCAGGTGGAAGACTCCGACCAAGAAAAGGTGGCAGAAGTAGGAAAAGCGATTCGGTTTATCTTACGCAGGTGCATTCTGGGTTTTCCAGCCCACGCCTGTACACTTCCTCATCTGTGCTGTACTGAAGATTGACAGCAGAAAGTTAAAATTGGAGTCAGTCTCAAGCGCCAGCAGTGAACCTTCAGAAACACTTACACATGACTGGTCTAGAGTATATATGAATAATTTGCAAAATTCAAAACTGGCACAACGTGCACTGCTCTGCTTCTAGAGCCTTCCCTTTCTCTCTCTCTCTCTCCTTACCAGTGCAAAAGACACCCACTATTCCAGTCAGCCACCAGTTGTCCCAGCAATATTTTTTGTGACTGAGCACAGACTGCCGTTGCCTCTCTGCTGCGCCGCCAGCGCCAGCCGCTGGCGCGGGAGAATCGCAGGCCAGGAGCAAAAGCCTTTATTTGAGCTGGCATATCCCAGTGACAACAGTTAACGCCACCATCTTCAGAGTAAGTCCTCTCACTGCGCAGTTGCAGGTGTTGGCGGCACAGCAATATCGTTCAACTTGCTCACTTCCATTTGCCAGTTTGGTAACTTCTTAGCTGATAAGTGGCGACGCGCATGCTTCGTTAAGTGGTCACTCCTCATGAACCGCCGCTCACACATCGGGCAGGCAAACTTCTTCTCCCCGGTATGCGTTCTGCGATGGCGAGACAGTTCATCAGACCGCGCAAACCTCCTCTCGCAGCCTTTCCAACTACAACTAAACGGCTTTTCTCCTAAAAGAAAAAAAAATGACAAAGAAAAAAGCCCCATGAGTACTCACTGAGCAACAAACACTACTGCATTGACTGGCAGGATTTGACTTTGTTAAAGGAAAGTTTCTATTATGAGAGTTGAGCCAAAAATATACATTAATATTATTTTTTATACATACGAAATGTGAAAAGTTGTTTATATACCAATATTTAAATGTGCAGACTCACTATCCTCAAGGTTACGTAGTACCACTCTCAATTAAGCAGTACAATTAACAATTCTCTGGAACCACATGGTTTGAGATGCACTTTATGTCTCAAGACAGCCGATTTAAACTCTCAGCTCCACATGAACTGCAGCTTATGACAACTTGGCATGCCCAGAACTGGCCTCTGAAACACAACCTGTAGCAACATTTTCTGTAAGAAGAACCCTGGTCAAAATACAGGCAACCCTTTCTGCTGCTGCGATTGAGAGCTGAGGCATGGAGAAGTTACTCTAAAATAACCAAGGTAGGGATAGTTTGGAGTGGACCCTTATGTTGCTGCGTAAAAGAAACTCTTCAAGTTTTCCCCACTTCTGGGAAGG